CTCTATCTCTCTCTCTCTCTCTCTAAAACTTAAAACTTTAGTTAAAATAAGTTTGAATAAAGTTATTGCTATACAAGTGGTGCACAGAATAAACACAGAGAGAGGCACTACTCGTCACAAACTTCACCACAACTAACGGCTCAATTCAAGAATCTCTATTATATTTATTTATTTATTTTAAAGTAATAAAACTTATCGAGAGTACAATTAATTTAATTACAGTTAATATATCACTTAATCTATAAAACATAGAAATTATTATTTAATTCGTTTCATGCAATCATTAGAAAATTATATTATTTAACGAATTTAATTCATGTTAATTAAATTTATAAAAGTCATTGTTTATAAAAAGTGATAAATTATATATTATTGTGTTTTGCGAAACAGAATTTCATAAAAACCAGAATTATTATTAGATTTAAGTGTATTTAAAACTTCATGGAAATTGTTTTGTTTCGTGACAAAAGTCTTATCGATAGACCACTCGTTATATTTGGCCAACACTTCCCGACACTCAGGCCTTTGTCTCCAAAAGGGTGTTGACATCATATCCAGAAGTGTCCCGTATATGCTTTGTATGCATTTCTTGAACGACAACTTTTTTGCTTCATTTAATTTCCAACTATTATTTTATACAAAATATAAATATAATAAATATTAAACATTTAAATAGTGATAAACGACTTACTCCTGGAGATCAATGCCAAACAACTCTTCGCCGATTATAGAGAGGCTATAAATGTCTGATTTGTGGTCATATTGTTTACCCATAAGAACTTCGGGCGCTATATATCCAAAAGTACCACAAACTGAGTGCACAAATGGACTAACTATTTGTCTGTCGGTGTTGTGATCAGTGACTAAACCAAAGTCACACACTTTTACACAACGATTGGACGTAAAGTTGGGATCAATTAATATGTTTTCCGGTTTGAGATTCCGATGAATGACCGGTGGATCCGATTCGTGGAGATATTCAACACATTCTAAGAGTTCTTTGAATATTTCACACGAAGTAAAGTATTCAAAGACATTCATCTGGTCTTCCGGTTGTCTCCCGAAGACAATGGGTTTGTCTTTGAGAACAGTTCGAAGACTTTGGGAATAGAATTGCATTTGAATGAAGAGATGATTGGACTCAAGCCATGAGTTGTAATATTTGACCACAAAATCTGAGTCCAGTTTTGTTAAACTATTCATTTCTTCGACAACACTTTGTTTTGTTTCTTCACTAATATCTGTAAAAATAATTTATAAAATATTAAAATTAAATAAACTTTTATGAATAAAATGCAAAAAATAGTCAAAATATTTACCCTTAAATTGGAGTCTTTTAACGGCATACATTTTGTCATCTAATCCATGCTTTACTTTAAATACAGTCCCAAAACCACCCGAACCTATGGCTGACATCTCAATGAATTGGTTGTTATAATTATTATCACTTGAGTTCTCACATATATTATCATTTTTATCTTCAATTTTATTTTTATTTTTCCGTTTCTTTTTCTTTTTTCTTGACTTTTCGCTATTATTTTCACTTTTAATTTCGCTGTTATTTTCACTTTTATTTTCGCTTTTAATGTCAACCGATGTTAACATAGTTTCAATTTTATTCATATCATTAATTTGTTTCAAATCAATTGTATTGTAAGTGATTTGGTATTCATTGGCGTAAAAGTCGACAAAATTATCATATTTTGTATCAATTAATTTAAATTCAGTTGATATTAATTGTACCTTATTGTCAATTAAAACACACACAAATTGTTTGGGGCATTCAGAATATGAACGAATGTGGTGCATTTGTTGAACCTGTTTCTCGCATGGTATTAATTTGGGATATGTTATCATTCCATTAAGGTGACCAAATTGACCACATACATATATACCATTTGTCGCGTGAAACTGTGTGCTGTAACCCATGGAAGTGATTGCTTTCACGCCATCAATGGTGTCGACCAATCGGGGCGTATCTATAATATCGTTGCCGATATGGAAACGGTGTCCCAATTGATGCAATCCATTATAACCCCAACTGAAGACATGTCCGTCGGATGTGATGGCAAACGAAGAGGTGCCGTAAGCGTGAATGCATTGTATTTTGTAATTATTAGCCAATTTAATCTCAATTGGTGTACAAATGTATTTAGGTTTAAATTTAAATTGACCACAAGCGGTTATATCGGCGCCCCAGGCATACACCCGGCCATCACCATTGAGGGCCAGCGCGTGATATGCACCACAACTCAGTTGTACAATATTTTTATCATTAAAATACGCTATTATTTCAGGTTTTTGATTTTGTTCATGAATATCCCTGTTGCGGGCCAATTGTCCATTTACATTATTACCAAAACCATATATCATATTTCTATCATTCACTGCAAATGCAATATCACCTCCATTGACAAAGTATTGTATGTTTTGATTACATAATTCAGGGATCAGTTCTGGTGATAGTATAGGAGTGTTGTGTCCAAAGCCAAGACATCCATTCCTATTATTACCAAAACCATAGACTATGTCATCGTTTGTAACAAATAATACATTAAACCCATCGTCACAATCATTTAAAATTTTTAATTTAAAAACATGTAATTTTGCGATTTTTTGTTTAATATTTGCCGGAATTTTGTCACAAATTGTAAACTTTTTCAATAATTCACTTTTAATTTCGCTGTTATTTTCACTTTTAATTTCGCTGTTATTTTTACTTTTAATTTCGCTGTTATTTTCACTTTTAATTTCGCTGTTATTTTTACTTTTAATTTCGCTGTTATTTTCACTTTTAATTTCGCTGTTATTTTCACTTTTAATTTCGCTGTTATTTTCACTTTTAATTTCGCTGTTATTTTCACTTTCAATTGAGGTTAACATTGTTTTGTCATTTAGTTGTTTCAAATTAATTGTTTTATAAGTTATTTGGCATTCATTGGCGTAAAAGTCCACAAAATTATTATATTTTGTATCATTTAATTTGTAATCCTTTGATATAATCTTCACTTTATTGTCAATCAAAACACAAATGAATTCATTTTTATAACTAATATATGAATTAATTGTTTGTAATTCTTGGAAATTTTGTTTAAACGGTATCTGTTTTGGTATTGCCTTTACATTAATGCTATCATAATATTTGCCACAAAAATACAAACCATTTGTTGTGTAAAAATGTGTACTAAATTCAGTGCATGTGATAGTCTTCACATCACTTATGGATTCAATCAATTTGGGTAACTTTACTAAGTGTGTCATAAATCTAAACATATAGTGTTCAGCGGGCATACTGTGTCCCAATCGGTGGCATTCATTCTGACCCCAACTGAACACCTGGCCATCGGTGGTGATGGCAAACGACCAGTCATTATAACAATACACGGATTGTATTTTGTAATTATCACCAAATTGTAACTCAAATGGTGTGTAAACAATCCCAGTCTCATAGCAATTATTACCACAACCAATTTGTCCGCATTCATGGTCACCCCAGGCATACACCCGGCCATCACAGGTGAGGGCTAGCGTGTGATGAGAACCACAACTGATTTGTACAATACTTTTATCGTAAAAGTATGCGATTATATCTGGTTTTTGGTTACAATAATAGGTATCTGTATTGCGGGCCAATTGTCCGCACGTGTTGCTACCGAAACCGTAGATCTGATTCACGCCATTCACTGCTATCACAAAATTACTTCCGTTGACAAAGTATTGGATGTTTTGCTGACATAATTCAGGGATCAGTTCGGGTGATATTATAGGTCTGTTGTGTCCAAAACCCAGACATCCCTCGCTATTATTGCCCAATCCGTAGACCATATCATCGTTTGTCACGTATAATGCATTATATCCTTCGTCGCAATCATTAAAAACATGTAGTTTTGAAATGTTTTGTTTAACATTTGCGGCAATTTTGTCACAAATTGTAAACTTATCTAATAATTCAGACATTTTTACAGATTATAGCAAACAATTTATAACACAATTATAACATTCAATACATAAAACACAATCAAAAATATGTGGTTATAATTAAAATTGTTAACAACATTACAGTATAGGTTTTACATGTGTTTTACTATAACTCACATGTTTAAATAGTGGCAACATTTTCAAATACTGTTCATGGTCCATATGTGCAACAGCCAATCACAATGCCTGATAGTTTAGTGGTATATGTCTAACATTATTATTGGTTATAAACAAAGCGCATAATTCTCTTTCTCTCTCTTAAACTTAAAAATAATTAATTGTATCAAACATTACAACAATTTAAATGTTTTGTCAAAATAATTTATATAATTAGTTAAAATAAGTTTGAATAAAGTTATTGCTATACAAGTGGTGCACAGAATAAGCAGAGAGAGGCAGTACTGGTCCACAAACTTTATAGTTATTTATTTTAAAGTAATAAAACTTATTGAAAGTACAATCAATTTATTGTCAATGTATAAAACATAGTAATTATTATTTAATTCATTTTAAACCCAATGCAAAGTCATTAGAAAATTATATTATTTAACGAATTTAATAATGTTAATTATATTTATAAAAGTAATTGTTTTAAAAAAGTGATAAATTTTATGTTATTGTGTTTTACGAAACAGAATTTCATAGAAAATTAAATAATCATTAGATTTCAGTTTATTTAAATCTTCATTGAAATTGTTTTGTTTCGTGACAACAGTCTTATCGATTGACCACTCGTTATGTTTGGCCAACACTTCCCGACACTCAGGCCTTTGTCTCCAAAAGGGTGTTGACATCATCTCCAGAAGTGTCCCGTATATGCTTTGTATGCATTTCTTGAACGACAACTTTTTCGCTTCAATTAATTTCCAACTATCAATTCATATAAAAAATTAATATTACGATTTATTATAATAAAGAATAAACATTAAATAGTGATAAATTACTTACTCCTGGAGATCAATGCCAAACAACTCTTCGCCGATTATAGAGAGGCTATAAATGTCTGATTTGTGGTCATATTGTTTACCCAGAAGTATTTCGGGCGCTATATATCCAACAGTACCACAAACTGAGTGCACAAATGAACTGACAGTTTGTTTACTGGTGTTGTGATCAGTGGCTAATCCAAAGTCACACACTTTTACACAACGATTGGATGTAAAGTTGGGATCAATTAATATGTTTTCCGGTTTTAGATTCCGATGAATGACCGGTGGATCCGATTCGTGGAGATATTCAACACATTCTAAGAGTTCTTTGAATATTTCACACGAAGTAAAGTATTCAAAGACATTCATTGGTTCGTCCGGTTGTCTCCCGAAGACAATGGGTTTGTCTTTGAGAACAGTTCGAAGACTTTGCGAATAGAATTGCATTTGAATGTAGAGATGATTGGACTCGAGATATGAATCTTCATATTTGATCACAAAATTTGAGTCCAGTTTTGTTAAACTATTCACTTCTTCGACAACTCTTTGTTTTGTTTCTTCACTAATATCTGTAAAAATAATTAAAAAAATATTAAAATTAAGTAAACTTTTATAAATGAAATGCAAAAAATAGTCGAAATATTTACCCTTAAATTGGAGTCTCTTAACGGCACTTATCTTATCATCCAATCTATGCTTTACTTTAAATACAGTCCCA